GCGGTCTGCCCAGGGTCGGCTTCTGGCCCACCCGAGCGAGGACCATGCCGAGAGCCCCGGCTGAGCCTGCCATGCCCCGCACCCCGCTGACGCCCCCCCTTGTCTTCCAGTACACCTCCAGCATGAGAGCCAAATACCTCGCCACGAGCCAGCCTCGCCCTGACTCCAGCGGCAGCGGCCATTAGACCGCGCTCCGGCCAGCCGCCCACCCCACGTGCCAACTGCCCCCTCCCTGTGCCAGCACTGCCGCTGCCACCCGGCCACCCGCCAGACCCTCTGCACGCCACGCCAGGCCCGCCCGGACGAGTCTGCGGGCCGCTCGCCCCCCTCTCCCCTTCCCGCAGGGGCACAGCTGACATGGGGTCTCTGGCGCACCCCCAGCTTGGGCCACACCTGACACCACCGGCACCCGGCCCTGCACGCCGCCCGCCGCCCCACACGCTCCCTCTGCAGATGGCCGCTCCTGCGAGGCCTGGCCTCCCCCTGGCCGTGCTGTGCCCACCCGGCCCCTCCCTCCTGCAGCTCTGTGGCCCTTCCTGCTGGGGCCTCTGTGGACCGCTTCTAGTTCCCAGGCGCAGCAGGAGCCGCTCCGGGCCTGGTCTGCTGGCAGGGAGGTGTGGGCACGCGCCGCCTGCTGGTCTCCACCCCGCAGGCCCTCCTGCGGCCTTCTCAACCGTCTCTCTGCAGCGCCCTCCTCGCCCTGCGGCCCGCCTGACCCTGCCAGTCCCAGAAGCCCCCCCGAAGGCTGCTCTGCCCCACCCAGCCTCGCTCTCTCCCTCAGCACCTGCCCTGCTGGAGGCGCCAGCCCTCCCCCGACGGCGGGGCCGCGCAGAGCCTCCCAGTGCTGGCCGCCCTCTCGGTGCCAAACCCCTGACCCCACCCCAGAGACTGGGCAGCTTTGTCTGGTTCGTTTTTTGCACTAACCACATTTGTCATCTCTAGGGCAGGCCGGGCAGTGGGCCGAGGGGAACCACTGGCACCCCCTTCCCTCCCTCCCTGGTTCCGTTTCCATCTGTGACAGGTGCATTGTCCCGGAGCCCGGTGTGAGGGGCCGGGCCCGAGCTGGCTGTGAACAGGCCTCAGCCCTGCCGCCCCTCTTGGGACTAACCACTAGCTTCACTCCCAGCCTCCACAGGTGCCCTGGCTGACCCAGAGTCAGTCGGGGCGACCCCAAGTTCAGGCTGGAGCTGAGGCCCTGGACAGCTGGCTGCAGCAGCATTTCTCCGTGGGGTGCTGCTGGCGGGGGCCGTGGGCTGGCAGGCAGCCCCGGGGCCTGGAGACCCCTCCCCAGGCAGGCGCTGCCCAGGCGGACTGTGTCCTCGGGAATGAACATCCCACGGGCTTTGGCTGAGGTCTCTGTGGCCTCAGTCTCCCTCCCTGTGAAGTGGGAACAAGGCTTCCCCACGGTGCTTTTGGCTTTAGTGTACGATGTTGGCTGCGCTTCCTGCCGCGGAGAGGAGAGCCACCCCCAAGTCGGGCTCGGGAAGTTCTGCGCTTCCCAGCCCCAGCCCTGGCCTGACCAGTGCGGCTTGACACGTGTGCCAAGGCTGGGGACAGCCAGAGGGCCGCTGGACAGCCACGTGCAGGGTCGGGGCCCTGCCCGGAGACTGGCAGCCAGCCCCAGCAGTTTACAGGCATGTGGTGCTTCCTCCCGGAGCAGCAGGCGGCTCGTGGCCTGCACCGGAAGTGTCCTCATCCCCTCCCTGGGCTGAGGCTCTGCTTTGCCCTTCCTCCGAGACGCCCCTTTTCTGTGCTGGTGTCCGGGACCAAAAGGGATGGGGACATGGTGAGGATAGGGCCAGCGGGCCTGGGGCCCAAGCCTGGGCAGCTGAGCCCCCCCAGGCGTGACCAAACCTCAGCTGAGGGGACTCTGGTCAGGCCCTGTCTGGCTGGCGTTCTGAGCCCCCGCAGGCCCGCAGAGGCCTCCCCACAGCCGAACCCGCCCAGGCTAGCCTCTGGGCTCCCCTTGCCTGGGAGCTCTCCCGGCTGGGCTTAGGAGGGAGGCGCTGGCACCCTGGCCTGGGTGCCCGCCCAGGTGCCCTTTGACCGCTCAGAAGCACAATGTCGCCCGTGGCCACGAGGCTGCCCGCAGGTGAAGGTCCCCGGCGTGGAGGCAGGCGCTGCCGGCCGTGGCCATGGCTTCGGCCCCGTGCTGTCGTGGGACTCCTGACCGTCATGTGCGTGTGTGCCCATCTGTGACTTCCTACTCACTGAAGTTGGAGACAGGAAGAAGGGGAAAGTCAAAAGGGGTTCAAACCCCGCCTCTGCAGGTGGAGGGGAGCGGCTACTGCCGTGTTTTACTTTTGTTGTTTTCGGTGCCGCTCTCCTAACTACCCATCCCTTCCACCTCTCCACACCCATGGGCGTCAGACCAGGGCCTGCTGCCCCAGCCGGCCCCCACTCTCACCCCGTGCCAGGAGGTTTTGCTGCCCCCAGGCCTGCAGCTTCTGGGTGTGGGGACGGGGAGGCCCTGGGGACAGGAGCTGATGGGTCCCTCTGCAGACATTCACTCCTCTGGTTGCCCCACGTGGCTGGCAAGGTCTGGGGAGTGGGGGCGCCTGGCTGGGAACAGCCCTGCCCTTTTCCCTGCTGTGCCCACCCATCCCATCTCACTATGCAATTCCAGTTCCAAGCACCATTCCCTCCCCACCACGAGGCCCAGCTCTGCCCAGCCCCTGCAGGGGTGGCTTGCGGGCAGCCCCAGGCCCCAGGCTGGGACAAGCAGGGGACCAGGGCCTTTGTGTGGGATCTTTTTTGCGTTTAACCATAATGGTTGTGTGCCGTACCACTTTGTATTTGTTATATATAATATATATAATCTCGTTAAGACTCGACCTCCCGGTTTATTTTCCTCCCACCCTGCCTCTGACATCTCACCTCCCCCCTGTGATTCCACACCCCAGCGGCAACTGAGGCCTGAACCATTTTTGCGTTTTCCCCTCCAGCCTCCGTAGGGCCATGGCTGTATGTACTGTCCTGTGCTTTTTCTGTTTTTTAGAACTGGGTTTGGGGGTTGATTTTTTTTTTTTAATTTGGGGGTTTTATTTTTCTCGGCAAATACTAAAAATCTCGTCAATGTAATTTCTGTGGTTTCTATTCAGCTTGGGTTTCATGTTTTAAAATAAATTTTAAAAAACCGGCCCCTTTTCCTGAGCTGCTTCGGCTCCCACCAGGCGACGACAGAGTCCGCGGCTCCAGGCCGCGGGCGGTGGGCGCGGGCCGCTCGGGCCGGCGGCGCAGGGCACGCGGGCAGGGCGGGGGGCATGGGGAAGGGGCGAGGCCTCGCGGCCAGGGCGGGGTGGGGGTCTGCCGAGCGCTTCAGATCCTGGGCTTTGGTGGGCCGGTGCCATCGCCTGGCGCGAGCTGCCC